AAAAAAAAAAATGTTGGTTAGGTGTTGTCACATGTTTTTAAAGGAAAAATAAAACTGACCTTGTAAACCTCACTGAATCCTCCTTTTCCAAGAAGGTTTAAGAGGGCATATCGATGATTAAGGATCTGATAATTATTAAAGCGGGACCCATCTTCATCTCTTATACGTTTCATTTCACGTATAAGTCGTCCTTTTTCTAGTTCATATCGATCTCTTTCACGCACATAGCTTTCCTCTTCCTGTTGTTATATTTCATCAAATTTAAAAAAGTGGAAATTAATTATATTGGAAAAAAAAAAAATATGTAGTGATAATAAAAAAAAAACTTACACGTTTAATGCTTGCGAGGCGGGATTTATAAAATTTCATCCTGGATGATGATGTCTTCTTCTGTAGATTCGGCTTCTGTTCCTTCGCCTTTATCTTTATATAAAGATGAATGGCTTTAAACTTGGTTAGAAATTAGAACCAAAATATTAAAGAGTAAATTACACGAATGGTCCCTATGGTTTGGGGTAATTTGCACGTTTGGTCCCTAACTTATTTTTTTTAACTCGGAAGGTCCCTACTGTTTGTTTTTGTTGCGCAGTTGGTCCATGTCTTACCTAAAAAGACTATTTTACCCTTGATTTTTTAATTTATTTAAATAAACACACCCCCAACCCCACCTTACATTACCTTGCCTAGCCCACCTTATTTAAATAAATTAAAAAATCAAGGGCAAAATAGTCTTTTTAGGTAAGACAGGGACCAAACGCGCAACAAAAATAAGCTACGGACCAAACGTGCATATTACCCCAAACCATAAGGACCATTTGTGTAATTTACTCAATATTAAAATCTAGGAAATGATGTTCATGTTGCTTCTTTCTAAATGCAATAAATAGCAATGTGCTTTCATTTATTTGTTTATTATGGCATTTCCTACTTTCGGTTTTTTTTACTAAAGAATGTATTTTCATTGTACTTTGAAAAATCTACTGAAATATAACACTACTTTTAATTTTCTTTTAATACATATATACATACTACTTTAAAGAAAAGAATATTCTCAATTGTAGTAGTGAATATTGCTTTGTATTTGTAAGGTATTGCTATAATTGGGTAGATTTTTCAAAAAATAAGAAACAGATTAACAGATAAAGATTTACCTGGTTGCTTTTTCTTTAGTGACTTTCGTTGCCTCTCAACAGCCTCCCTCAATTCTAACAAACGCCTCTAGGAATCACAATATGAAATTGTAAGTCATAGTGTACATGTCATAGATCATAGATAGATGCTCTTACTTTTACTTTTTTTACTTAGTGCAGAAAAAATGACTTAAAAGAGAAAGTCAGGGAATATAGACTTTCCACAATATAAGTCAAAGTCATCCCTCTTTATAGATTTGCTCTCATTTGTTTTTTTTTCAAAGTTGAAGGGGTTTTTTTCAAATGTTTTTTATTAACATAATGGAAACATGATTAAAAAAAATTAAGCATCAAATAGAACAGACCAGATGAGCATTAAGATCCTTAATGGCTTGCCCATCTTCCCAAGTCTCAGATATGACTGTTCCAGCTCTGCATTTTACCAAAAAAGCAAAAAATTAGATATCCAAAAGAGTAATTTACAGAAACAGTCCCTATTCTTTCTGGTTTGACCGTGTTTAGTCCAAGATTGAAACTTTCCTTTAATTTTTGCTCCTTATTTCATGGTTTCTAATTGATTTTGGTCCTTATTGCAAGCTTGATATCATAATATGAGAACTTAAAATAAGGACAAACACTGAAAAAGGTTTTGATTTTACCGTTTTAGACTAAACACTGTAAAAATCAGAAAATACAGGGACCATTTCTGTAATTTATTAGATACTTTACCTGATAACACCCACGTTGCCAAGTCGCAAAGAATCTTGTCTTACTTTTGTTCTTGCTTCTTGTCTCTCACCTTTAGACACAGATATCAACAGATCAGATATGACTTTCATTCTCTGCAATACAGGGTCATAAATGTAATTATCTTATTACACAAGTAAAAAAAAAAGTAGATTTTCTCAAATGGATATGTATAGGAACAATTCCAGAATGTGTTGGCCTACTTTTGTAGAAATTCTAGTTAATAAAAAATGAGCATACAGTATAACATATAACAAAAAACTCACTTTTGGTTTCACCTGCTGTTCATTATTTTTAAGCTCCTTAAGCTCCTGTAAATCACAAGAAAAACATAAATATGAAATAATATTATATGGAATAGTTGTAAAGAGAATACAGTAAATAAGTACCTTTTCCAACTGTTGGCATAGATGGTTGATATTCTGAGGCCTCTTGGCGAGCTTTCTTTAAGTCCTCCTCTAGAGTTATTATTTTGGCACGTAGTGATGTAAGTTCCTCCTAATTTGTTTTTTAAAAAAAATAATAATGATCAGGTGAAAACAAATAAACAATAATGATAAATGCCAGTAATTTGTTTAGTCAATCATACCTCTAACAAAGCACGTTCATTTTGTCCAAGTTGCTCTTTTAGCCAACTACTCTCCTGCAAATATATTTAGAAAAAAAAAAAGGGCGATTATGAGTTTATTACACAATAAAACAAAAATGGAGATGATGTTATTTTTAAAATAAGAGTAACTGAGCAATGTAAAAATAAAAAAGAAATTTAGGATTTTATAGACTTGCACATTTCCACAAGACAAATAAATTAGGGGGAGAGTCAGCATCAGAAATTCAGAAATGATGATTTTATTCTTTTTAGTTTTTATATATAGATTTGTTTCCTTTATCTACCTCATACTTGCAACTTCCATATTGTACATAAATGACAATATACTTTCCTCAAAGTCAACAATATTGTTTTTATATATATAGCAATTTAATTTTACTAGCCTTTCAAGTCTTAAAAAATTACTCTACTTTCTACTTTTGAGATGTCTCATTCCTTATTCACAATCATGATTCCCTTTAGGGAAGATTTCATGTTAAAAATACCTATTTCACATAAGTAGTATTGAGTTTTGTCTGTAAGATTTCTCATTGTTAAAGGGTATTTTAGACATATGACTAACAACCAAACTCTTACATTCAGTCATGTATAATAACATAAAAATTATACACAAACAACTTGGTAGTTACTTCAATGTGATCAATGCAAAACAAATATATATGTATGTATGTATGTGTGTATGCATGTATGTATGTATGCATGTATGTATATATGTACGTATGTATGTAAGTATATATGTATGTATGTATATAAGCATGTATGCGTTGTATGTATGTATATATGTATGTATGTATGTATGTATGTATGTATGTATGCAAGTATATATGTATGTAGTATGTATGTATGTATGTATGTATGTGTAAATATGTATGTATCTATATATGTATGTATATAAGCATGTATGCATCTATGTATGTATGTAACTATGCACAAAAACGTTACCTTTTGATGTGAATTCTCGAGAAGACCATTTGATGATGTAAGCAATTGAGTAGAGTTTTGTATTCTTGTTTGATCATTGGAACCACGTCCTCTAGCTGGAGTAGAATTTCCCTTGCCACGTGTTTGTTTCCTCTTATTTACATCTGTGCCACTCTTAACCTCCACTGCTTCCACAACTTTTTGCCTCGCATCCACCGCCACCTGGATTTTTTCCAATCACAAAAGATACTCTTAAACCAATTATAAAAAAGGCTAAATTCAAGACATAGCAACATACTTTTATTTATTTATTTATTATAGCACCCACTTTCATTTATTTCCTTTACAACATTGTATTCTAGAATCATGCCCAATTATAGCATCATGTGTTCAACTTTTTTCTTATTAAGACATTATCCTTGGAAAACTCTACCCAATTATAGTAGTGAAAATTGCTTTCAATTTGAATGTAATTGCTATAATTGGATGGATTTTCTAAAGTACAATGTTGTAGCATAAATAATGAAAGTAGGGTAGCAACCCATCATATTCTTAATAAAAAATTAAGAATATGAAGGTTTGAGATATAATGAAAATGAAACAAGGATAATATGGTTTTTGTAGTAGTAAAACTAATATTAATGATTTCAAGAAATAAATCAACCTTAATCTGTCCGGATGCAGCTGAGTCAGCATCATCTGCAAGCTTTCTACGCTTCTGAAAGTTAGCTTGTATGAGAAACTCTCTCCCATTCTAGCAAAGAAATGAAGATTAAAGATTAGCTAATATGAAAATCTAACTGTTTTTAAACAAACAACAACTGTTTTATATCTCGTTTTTATTAGTTATATGGTAATTTAGATGTTGATAACTTGATCCGATATTTTACTCCTTATGTTTTACTTTTGCATTTATTGGTTATATGGTTGGACATTTGAACAGCTTGCACTTTGCATTATTAATGATGTTGAGATCACAAATCATTGAACTCATATCATTATATCATACATTATCATATATAAATATTTTCTAGATAATTTATAGGTTCACATGTTTTTACCATTTTAAACTTTTCATTCACAGCATTAATCAAACAGCCATTGTTCATTCAGCACTAATTTCTTACATAGGATTCTTCACATAGGGGTAAAATGGTCATTCAATAGAATTCAAACTGTTTATTCAGCAAACGAAGAAAGCAACAATTTTCATTAACTGTCTACTCTAGACAGATGTCATTTTCCAGACCACACTTAATGAGACAAAATAAACAACAGACTCTTACTCTAATGTATGTCTATTTTTGGTGCATTTTGCTTTGTTAATCATAAGTGTTGTAGCCTTGTGCCATGTGCTAGGTAGTATCATACTAGCAGGGTTAATTGCAAGAAATAGCAATGTACTTCCATTGGTTTGTTTATTATAGCATCCTACTTTCATTTCTTCAACATTTACTTTGAAAAATCCACCCAATTATAGCAAGGTCATCCAAATACAAAGCAATTTGACTGCTATAATAAGAAAAAAGTTGAAAAGTACAGTGCTATAGTTGGGTAGTTTTTGTAATAGAAAGAAATGAAAGTAGAATGTTGTAATAAACAAATATATGAAAATACATTACTGCTTCTTGCATTCAGGCTTCAGCCCTATACTATATGTACATAGAAGGATTAACAGACAAATTTAACATCTCTTGTGGATTTATGGAGCTGAGAAGAAGCTCGTTCTATACAACCATGTATCTATATAACTTCTTTAAGCTCATAAACTCATGATTTGCAGTTGATTGTGGATCTTGACAGTGATCTACTGCTTATGTTTGTGATCAGTGGTAAAAAGTCACAAACAATCACTTCTAGGGAAGAGTTAACAAGCAAAATAAGAAGAGATTGAAAGTATAGTACCAAAAGAAACTTATAGAGTTCGAACAAACATTTGGGTCGTAGTACCTAAAATGAAACTAAATTTTCTGGAGCGTGCACCTATAAACCTATCACGTCTAAAGTCTATGTGTAATGCATGCTCAGTGGTGTTTGGATATGAACTTTGAAAGTGATTATCACATTATTGCAACTAGTGTTTGGGTAAACTACTTATGCTAAAGAGGGCATTGACGTGACTTCTACATTGAAATCAGAATTTGTCGTTGTTATCAAATCATACTTAAAACTAAAGCATATGCAAAATTATGCAAAGCAAAAATTATGTCATGTTTACAAAAGTATAGATGATTTTCAGCAGAGTAAGTTCAAAAGACTCACACTATCATCCTCTTCCGAATCGCTAGAATCCAATGATTCAGCATAAATCTCACCAGCAGCATTAGCTCCGAACTTGGCAGCAGAAGAAGAAGAAATTGAGGACCGCGTTGCTGCGGCTTGGGCAGCAGGAAGCTGGAGAGTAGACACCACGGCAGTGGAGGTTTTACCCACCATTCTGGCTTCGAGTTTTGCAATTTTTGATGGCAGAGACTGATCGGATTGATTAGAGGAGTTTGAGGCGAGGTGTAGAAGCACGTCCTCTGACATTGTTGATTGACTAGGCTAAAGAAGAACCCTCTTCAACTAACAATTCGAAGAAAAACCCAGAAGCTAAAAGCAAACTGATTAATATAAACAGTTGAAAATGGTGTGGTAAAGAGATCTCATGCCAGAATGGAAGCGTTTCTGACAAGGATCGAAGGTTACGCTGACTTGGGAATTTTGGGAGGGAGTGAGTTTTGACAATTAGGGCTTTTTGTTTAACAAATTTTCCGATTTGTGGTGTCGAGTGATGACGTCTAGGTGGTAAAGGGGAGCGATAAGCGGAAACGAATTTGAAAGTGCTAAAGCATTTTGCTTAGTTAAGGGCCTTAGGGCTGTTCTTTCTTTTTTCACCCAAATCACAAAAAATAATATAGCAATGTATTTCTTTTACTTTTTAATACAAACTTCAGGTGTATTTTATAAAAAATAATATAGCAATGTATTTCTTTTACTATTTAATACAAACTTAAGGTCTATTTCTTTAAGGGTTAATATCACTTTAACACAACAAATTTTTCAAGTTTGTTTTAAAATGTCACTTAATTTTATTTTATTTTTTTGTATTTTTAAGAAATGAAGTCTGTTTTCACCCGTTATTACTAAGGTCACTTGACCTGTTACCAAACACCACCTATTACCAACCTTATCTCTCCATTACAATCAATCCTTCACCACCGTGAATCATCCTTATTCCACCATGAATCACCTTGACCATTTATCCACTTTCATCATATTCATCAAAATCAAGGGTAAGATGGGAAGGTTACCACAAATATCACAGACACATATATCAACCGCAATAAATAAGGGTAGTGTGTCAACCGGAGACATTAACCCTTTTGTAAAATTCCCAATTACTTTAACTTCATCGGAAATCCTGGAGCGTCAGGCTGGAGCGTAAGACAGGGGAGGCCTCATGGAGGAGGCACCAGGATAGCGAGGCTACCTGGCGGAGGCACCAGGCAAACCGATGTGTCAGGCAGACGGGTCTAGCTAATAAACATATGTCTATCACATAGCATGGTGTGTAGTAAATAATATTAGAGATTTCTATTTAATCTACATTCTTGCACCTAACTAACCATGAGCTAATTTTACTTTTGTACACTTTAAACTCTCTATTTTGGAAGATCGACCCAAGAGTTACTGCCTATTTACATATGCCTTAATTTTAAATTGCATTCCTAACCTTATTTTGTTTCATTATACACTACAAACAGCTATATAAATGTTGTTTTCCACGTCTATATATCGAACATCATTAATATAGTTCACTACTAGAGTTAGAGTTTGACTCACATCATCAGATTAATCATCCTCAATATTATACACCAACATACTATCAATATCTTCACTATATTGTAAGTTAAGGTCATTAAATACAAAATCGTTGTCTGCCTCATATGTAGTTTTATTAGGAAAAGGAAATAATTGTTGGATTTTGAGCACTATAACACTCCTATGGTGCACATGCAACCCTAAATGCTTTGGATCTATGTTTTCTCTAATTATACATGCATTTTCAATTTTTCCAAAGCATTGTCCTAACTACCATACAAATTTTCAAATGAACAATACATATAGTTAGATGACTTACCTCTTAGAAGGACTTGTAGTTCTTGACCTTTGAAAGCTTGAGCACCCCAAGTGTGATGCCTCTAATAGTTCACAAACACCAATATGTAAGAGGAGGCTTGAGAGAATAGATTACTTAGCACAAAATCAACTTCACTCTCTTAGAAATGAATGGGGTGGCGATTTTGGGACTAGGGGTATGCTTTTATAGTGTTGCTAAGCTAGGGTTACATTCATGCAAACCCTAATGCTCCATGACCTTTTCACATTCTTATGCTCCATGGGTTTAACCTCTATGACAACTTGAAATTTCTATTCTGTACAACCATTCACTTCAATAGAAGTCAGTCTTGTTTCTGCTAACTTTTAAGCTGTTTAGAGTCCGTTTGAGTGTTCTATAGCCTAGACCATCAAAAAGGAAATTATAGGACGTGTACTCTAGAGTTTATTGTGCATCAATAAAGTCTCAAAACTCCAAGAGTTTGGAGTTTACGGCCCAAACAATGAGTTTACGGCCGTAAACTCTAAGGATTATAAATATGACACTTAGTCATTTTATACACTTTTTTTACCATTTCAAGCCTAGAAACTCATTCTCTCTCAAGTAGCATCTGATTTCCCTTCTTGATCTTCAACTTTGTAAGTATTTCTTGCCTTAATTAGTTGATATCCTTCATCATCTAGTGATCTTACATGATTTCATCCATGAAATCTCTTCATTTTGATAGATCTTCAAGTGTTCTTCATTTCACCAAGAACACCAAGAACACACACTAGTGTTCTTGGACTTTAAACACCCTTACAAGCTTCTATATTGTAAGTACTCTTACTTTAGCTTTTTATAGGCTTGATACACTTGTTAAGCAACTAGAAAACATCAAGAAACATAAGATCATAAGTGTTTACGGCCAAGGTTAATCTCCTGGGCCGTTAACTCTAATGAAAGGGCCATTGTGAGCCCTAGTCCTTACTAGCCTTGGATACAAGTCTAAATCACCTCCTTGTGGGTATAGGACCTAAACAAACAAAAGAACCAAGCACACATGAGTTTACGGCCGTAAACTTCATGAGGAATGGTCCATGGGCCGTAAAACTCTAAAAGGTGGTGCAATGGTTGCCACAATCACTTTCCTAAGGCTTGGACTTGATCATGGCATGCTTAACCTTGACTTGTAAGACCTTAAACATCACATGGTAGAAGTTACCATGGGTTACGTCCTTAAACCCATAGGACCGTAAACCCATAAACGTAAACTCATGAAGAGTTTACCCTTGGATCGTATAAACTCAAAAGCAAAGCCCTACAACCCCTAGATGCATCCTTGGTACTTATAGCACTTGAATCCAAGTGTTTTCCCTGTTCTAGGGTGTCTTAACTTGATTTATTAGTTATTAAATGACTAATTGGATACATATAGTGTCCTTATATGTTAAATAGGATCAGTGTGTGTTTCAAGTCTTCATTGACACTTAGCATCTATTACCATCCGTTCATCCAACCCACTCACTACAGGTGAGTTCTACCCCTTAATCAACCTTTTAAATGATTGTTAATGCTTTTATGGGGGGATACAGTTGAACTATTATAGTTATTATATCAATCACACGGATTAATAACTACCAAAACAAGTGGATTTCTTACTTTTCAACTGAGTTATCATAAAAACAAACTACTTCAAACTGTTTTACCAAACTCTTTTACATGTTAAATACTTTTAATTAAACTCTTTTAAACTTATTATTTGTTAAATGTTATCTATATAGATATAGTTATATAAGTAGGATTGGAAGGACTTAGGACTGATAGCTCACCTTACCTCCTGTTTCCTTGTTGGTTGTAGACTAGGTATCGGTTGTTTGTCCGAAGGTCGTTTGAATTCTAGTTATATATATGTAATGTATATAGCTATATAAAAGTTCCTTCTTTCTATTCAATACCTTTGGGTAGCAAAGGTAACACAACAGTTCTACATGCAAACAACATTTTCGTAAACTATAATAGGTATATTTAGAAGCTTACTAACACTATTAATAGGAACAAGAAACATACAATGAGTCAGTTTATACATGAGTCACATACTATTATGAGAAACAGAGAGAACATACATACATCACTAGAGAGAGAGAGAACATACAATAAGCTAGTTATACTATACTATACAAGAGAACATACTATTATGAGAAAACAGAGAGGACATAACATACATACTAGACATAGAGAGAACATACAATACAGCTAGTACACCACAATACATATCAAGAACACTACTACAGTTATGTGAGCCACGTAACGGGGCATGGCATCACCTGTCATGGCTCGTTTTGTATCCAGAATCTCCTTAAGTGGAGAGCGTTGAGTTTGTGTGTAGATCTATACTGGATTGACTATCCTACACCTTGCTGCTCGCTACAGTGGGACTTGCAAGTCTACGGGTGCCAAACGTCATTTCTTCCGACGTCTTACATCGTCGTGTTTCTAGTCGGTAGTATGGTACATGCAGATCACATGGTACTTTAGATAACAATTGCTTTAAGGTAGTTAGTACAGCAGTAGTTACTTAATACAACACTACAGTACTATTTTATTCCCCATTGCATTCACTTTGTGATCTTCACACAATGAACAGTATGTAAAAACTATATTTTGGTAATGATAGTCAGATTTGGGAAAATACATACTCTTACAAGAGACTTACATACAAACATTTGATGCCTTGGTAGAAGGCTGCTTTTAGTAGAAAACATAGGGTTTTCTAGGAGAGTTCAAACAATTACAAACATTCATAAAAGATTTACAAACGTATACATCGAGTACTTACAAACACTTTCATACAATTACAAACACTAAAATACTTATGATCTCACTAGCTTTAAAGCTGATAAACTCTTTCAAAATAACTTGTATTCTCAGGTCATCAGTAGACAGGTACCGATGCCAGGCTTTTGAGAAGATGGAGTTCGTTCAAGACTCATCTCATATTTTGATTTACATTTTTAGTGTCTTATAACTTTACAGAACACACTTGTATGAAATTATATTATTAATGCAATGGATGATGTTGTTGCTTGTTTACTACTATGCATTGTTGTGATACTGTACATGACATCCTCCACCCCCGAACAATTCCGCCGTTCTGGTTTTGGGGTGTGACAGATTGGTATCAGAGCATTGTTTATAGTGAATCGAGTATATCAACCAATAAAAAATATACGAACTATAAACACAGCGGGATTTAAAAATACTCTGATAAAGAGTTTATACTTTTAAATAATAAAATATTTAACCAAGTATACCTACCTGCATTCATGCTAAAATCAGTGTCACTAGGACAGAACAAAAGTATTACGATTGTTGGGCAGCACAAGTAGACTTAGAGACATATAGTCAAATCTGGGAAGATATAGTCTGATCAACTATATTATCCGAGGAGTGACTAGCATGTGCCTAAGTGTGGTTGTGAGGTTGCAACAAGTCTAAAAACTTACCAACAATACCACAACGAAAACCTTAGAACAAAACATAAACCTAAAATACTATAGGAGTATTTTATGTTACTATAAATTACTTATGTGCTTATTTCTTATATCCCTTTTCTCGCATAGATATCATGGCTGGATTCCATCTTCCCGGAGACCCGTACTATCCCAACAACGGCAATGCGGGATGGCTTGAAGAAGAGCCAGATGATGATTATCCAATCCCTTTGGATGATC